GAAGTTAGAATTTAAAAACTTATAAATTCAAAAGTTGCTTTTTGATATTAACTAAACAAATATTTATATAAAAACAAATAAAATAACGAATACCACATAAATATTTCTCTAGTATGTGTTAATTGTTCAACATATTCTTACTTAAATGATACTTTTTTTTAATTTGACCTTTTTTGAACGAAGACAACTCAAAAGAGCTGAATTCTTCTTTCTTCCATATTGTTTATTTATGAACTCATGTTTTCGCAGCACTTTTGATTGAACAGTTGTGACTAAAATCATGAAGAAAAGTATGCGGAAGATTTTATTTTTGTCACATTATACTGATCTTTGAGTTTATCTAACACTATTCGTAATGTTGACCTAAAATTTTGACAGTTTGAATTAATAACTAAAAAGAAAAAATAACCTTCAAAAATAGGTGGTGTCACCTTTATAAATCAGTAATTAATAAATAAAGTGATGCCAGAAATATCGTTCTCTTCCATTTCTTAATTCCGATTTATGTTTTTTTTTAAAAAATATATCCATCTGCGAGGCATTTGAAGGACCTTTCTTATTAAAAAAAATTTTTTTATAAACTTTATTAAAAAATTTGTTATCTTTCAAGTCTTATTAGAAGTCGATAGGGTTATTTAAACTTTTAATTTGCACACTTTTCTTAATTTAGACAAAAAAAATTAATTTATAAAATCGAAAAAAAATAAATATTCAAATATGATCAAATCGTTTTTTATATATTCAACTTCATAATAATAAGCCCTTTTCAAATTACAATAGCCTTTTCTTCATGATTTAAGGCATAGTCGGACGGTGATTGAAATCAGTGGCTTAACCTGTCACAGATTACGGACGTGCTTATGAATCACCCCCATTACGATGATAACATTTGATAATATATTATCAAAAAAAAAAAGTTACTAGTTTTATTTCCGGATAACTTCTATTTCATTTTCTATTTTGTACCTCCACTTATTTTTTGAAATAAGTAAAGAATCAAAACTTATCGAATCGGCAAATATTCGGTCGGTTAATTTTTGCCAGATTTTCCAGAATTTATGAAAACAGCTGTAATTCCGCCTGGCATTATACTCTCTGGCCTAAATTATATCTACTTTAATTTTCCTATTATAAAATCTATATAGATGGGATAAAATGCGATAAATGCGTTAATGCGCTCAATTGAGGATTCATGCGCACACATGAAACCGATGTCTAGTAGTGCCTATATCTTTTAGACATACCAAATATTATTTTAGCTTATATCTTTGCGTCTAACATCATAATTGAAAATATTTATTAATAAACGTAAAAGCATAATGGTGTGAAATATTAAGCACCTTTTTGTTATACTTAATGTGCTTTATTGATTTATTATTATAATTTTTTTTTTTTTTAATTCAAACACGATAGTTGACGTATATCAAATAATTCATTAAATATACAGTATCTATAAAATAACTTTGACAAAAAGAATATGCCTTATTAAGCTCCCTTTTTTCTTTATTACAGTAATTAAATGTTAAAAATTATTACGTAAGTACGTACGTACGTACGTACAATCTGTATTACAGTTATTATATCACATGGCCTTCGAAATTTTTGATCCAAAGCAGAATATTACGTAATAAGATCGGATCATCTGACCCTCATTAATATAATTTTGGTTAAGAGATCTTTTGATAGATGTGCATATCGATATATGGCCCAGTAATAGTAAATCCGGATCTATTTTACAAGGGTTAACAGAAAAAATTTTACATTCTTCATAATGTACAAAGAAAATTTGAGACTATTCATTGTATCAACGTCTTGAGTAGAGACTTCACTGTGTTCCTATTTTTTTTTTTGGCGTGGCTGCGCCTGGTTTGTCGCATATTTTCCATCTGTAACACCAGATTTGATTTATCCGAATTTGACTGCTATAATGCTAGATCCTGTCATATCCAGATTTAGATGTCATTGTTTCAAAATTTGATTGATATTACATCCAAATTTGATTATTATTTTTTTTAAAATAGATGTATGAATACATAAGACAAAGTGATTTGGCATAACATATACGTGATTTTTTTTTTTCAATGCATCATCATTTTCAAGGAATTCTTTTATAATAAAGACTCAATAGCTTTATCAAATAGTACGCAGTAAAAAAACTGGATACATCTGGTTACAAGGCCCATACATAGTCATTCCGAAACATCTGCAAGAATTGGTTTTATTTTATAAGGTTAATTTAAATGAATAAAGATTAAGATAAAATTAGTTGATTATGCATTCTACTACATCGTGCAACGGAAAACCAACACTGATTCATTATATCGGAAAAACCCACTGGAAATATCGGAATATTCATGATTATAAATATGCTACAAGAAACTTTTCCTCTCTATGCATTCAAATTGTGCAAATTGAACGAAATGAGCAAGTTGAGTAATGTTGTTAGTACTGTGGTAAATAAAAATTATTTAGCAACATGTATTTACTATTTCCTTTCTTAAATATCTACAACTAGACACGAACGAATTTCCACCGGTTCTCAAATTAACCTTAATCATCCTGTAATTCTCTTGGTAGGAAAAACAGGCAAGCACCAACAAAAAATTTTTAACTCTCATATATTTTTAATTAATTAAAGATATAACTCTTATCAAGGTGCTGGAAAAAGTACTCTTGGTAACATGCTTCTCGACAGACCACATGACAAAGGACCATTTGTGGTTTCAGATAGTATGGTGTGTGGTCATATTCGTATTTAAACTATACGCATAATTCATTCCAAACTAAGAATAAACAATATAGGATTCCTGCACGCAAGAATGTGGTGAATCAGAAGTGACAATCAACGGACAGAAATTTAATATTGTTGACACACCCGGAATTTTTGATACAAATAAACCTGATGAGGAAGTTTTCAAAGAAATTGCCAAAACAGTTCAAAAATGCGCTTATGGTGTTAAAGCTATACTTTTTGTTTTCGGTACGTGATAACTTAATCTCTTTTACTGAGTGATAGTTTAAATACATACAGTAGTATGGTAAATAATGGCTATATTGCTTTTACTTTGCAGAAGCTAAGCGTTTTACTGCAGAACAAAAAAGTGTTTTGAATGGCATAAAAACATTTCTTGGAGAAGATGCATTAAATCATATGATTGCCATTTTTTCTCATGCAACAAAAAAGCAAAATGAAGATAGGGATGAAATGCGAAAGGCTTGGAATCCGGCTATTGCCACCCTTATTGGAAGAATAGGAAACCGGTGGGGAATATCCCCAAATTCGGATTTCTTCCCTCCAGAACATGAAAAATACAAATTAAGGTTATTAGAAATTAAAGATTTCATCATAAGCACATCAGGTTACTACACTACGGAAAGTTTTAAATTGGTTCGACAAGAACAAGAGAGGATTGAGCGTGAAAAGCAAGAGGAAGAAAGAAAAATAAAGGCGGAGTACGATGAAAAGTTAAGAAAAGAAGGGAAAGAGAAAGCAGATAGAGCATATCAAGAAGAAACGAACAGAATGAAAATCGAATATGAACAAAAACAGAGAGATTCTTTAGATGCGATGGCGAATGAAATGAAAAATCGGTTTGATGAAATGAAATCCGAAATATCCAATCTGAATAACAAAATTGCACAATTGGAGTCAGAGAAAAAACAATTGGAATCAAATAAAGGCCAATTGGAATGGAATAAAAGCCAAATGGAATCAAATCAAAGACATCTGGAAAATGAAATTGCAGACTTGAAAAGACAGCTCAATGCGGTACAACAATCTTTACACTTTATAATTTTTTGTACAGTACGATAAAAATTGTCACTTCTCATAGTTCCATATATATTTGATTACATTTCTTATTTTACATAATTAATTTTTATAGAGATCCGATGGTTGTTTTGCTCTTGATACAAAGGTGCAACTTGCTAGCGGTAAATTGATAGAAATGGCAGAACTCCAAGTTGGTGATCTTGTTTTAAGTGATGTCAAAAATAACTGTCTCGAGTTTTCAGAAATTTATTTGATATCTCATCTGGGACATTGCGATAATCCCCTTGATATGGTAAAAATTAAATTCACAAACCCCGATGGAAGTAAAGGTAAATGTTGCGTCAGTTGAACTTACGCTAGAGAAAGTTGAATCTCTTGTTAAATGTTCTATATGACTTTTGTACCTATAAGGATACTTTTCTTCCATATTTATTATATTACTTTATAAGAAAATATTATAACTTACTTTCTTATATACATTCTACCCTCGTTATAACGCAACGATCGGGTTGGGAAATTTCATCTGTTATAATGAATGTCCGTTATTGCATTGTATAGTATAACAGTAATTATTTTAAATATTCTAGAGAATTACTCCGTTATAATGAGGGATCTGCTTTAACAGGTCCGCTATAATCTTAAGATTTCTTGATCCTAATTTTTTTTATTTTTTTTATTTTTATAAACAGGTTATATTCGAATGACACCTACACATTGCATCTTTAGTAGTGATTTATCACTCTTATATGCTCAAGATGTGGTACCAGGTGAAACTAAAATCTTGGTTTTGGATAAATCAAATAAACTTATCCCTGTTCTTATTGATAGCATTGACATTGTAAGTTTGTTATTTCTCATTAACCAAAAAATACCTTTCATGATTTAATAAAATTATTTTCAAATTAGGAAAAAGATAACGGCTATATCAGTTTTTATACACGTGCTGGCACCGTGATTGCCAACAATATGTTGTGTTCATGCTATGATGATTGCCCGCAATCACAATTTTTAATGGACCTGGTATTTGCACCAATTCGATTGTGGACTAAAGTATTTTCTTCTACTCATCGTCAAAAAGAACTTCATCCATATGTGCAAATCTTGGATACCGCTTATGTCATTTGGTGTAAAGCATTAGAGGGAATTAAAATGATTGGACAGAAGGATGCGATTGCTTAATTTGATGTTCAGCCACAAAAGTGCCTTACTACGTATACAATTGTTAATTTTATATTTCTTAATTTCATATCGATATATATTTGTTCTGAAATATGTATTTATAAGCAGGCTGTGAACATAGTATATTAATAGAGGAATTTCGGCTATAAGGCCGTAAATATATATACATCATATATATATATATTATTTCAATATGTGATATAAATTACTTTGATACATTTTTAAAATTTTATTAGAAAAATTATTTTTGATCAATGATGAATAAATCAAACAAATCAGTTTTTCGTTTAGTTGAGCACAGTACAGTCAGACCTCTCTAAATGCATAGCCGAGGGCGGCCAAAAAATCTTGCATTTAGGGATGTAAAATCTAGAAGAGTTATATAAGTTGAGGCCAAATAAGGCCATGCATTCTGAGAATACGCATTTGACTGTATTTAAGACAGTATTTTTTAATTAACGATTTTTTTTGGCCAGAATTAACTGATCGACATTGATTAGCCTAATCCTTACCGTAACTCTTACCCTACTCTAACTTAGGCCAGTGTTCTCAAATGACCCAGTGACCTAGTCATTTATTGGTCATTCAGAAAAAAATAACCCAAATTTAAGAAACTCTGGTCCATGCTCCGACTATCAATAGCGTTCTTTTGTCAATGATTATTACTTATTGTGTTTTTGAAAATTTTTTATCAGTTCAAATTAGGGTTGTGTTACATAAATTACAATTTTGCGATACATGAAGTTTTAGTAATAAGATTTCATGTAATTTTTCGTCACGTTAAAAATAAAATACCAGCTTTACAAAAGATCGGCCAACATTATGCATCATTTGATTTATATATATGATCCGAATTGTACTCCTCAAATCACCGAAAATTTGATCTCAAAAACTAATATTATGTGTTCAGAATTACAAATTGCATAAAAAACTAATTTACGAAAACTTACTCAAAACTACGTAAATTACAGTAATTTTACATCCTTATCCAAACTTTGTAAATTTATTAGAAATCAAAAAATGATCAAATGACAAAACATTTTAGATCGTTTATAGTCATTGATTTTAGTCATTTACTTAATTTTAAGATGACATATGACCAAATGACCTATAAGATTTTAGTCATTTAAGTCATGTCATTTCAATCAAATGACCTGTCATTTGAGAACACCGACTTGACCGACATCTGAGACAAGCGTAAGACAAGCGTTAATTTGAAGCACGACAAATATACTGAACGCAAATTCTTATCGCATAAATTCTGTGTTCCTGCCACGGGTTAACTGTTAGTAAGTATAAATATATACATATAGGTCATGCCGAATTCACATATTTAACCGAATCGACTAATTTTTACAGGTATTATGATAATAGCTGCAATTATTGTCGGGGATGATGCTGAAATTTAGGGCCCTCATTTGAATCTATAATACCTACTAAAATTCACATATACTTTTTTACTAACAACACTAACCCTAAACCCTAACCTAGCCCTAAAAAACCCCTAACGAAAAGGCCTGAAAATTTTTTAAAATTTCATAATAAAATAAGTCAAAATTTCAGTATCATCCGATTTCAGCATCATCCCCGACAATTATTATTCATAATTGGATTTGCATCAGTAGTGTTCTAATTTTCGACCGGAATTCACCGTAGGTATAACCTGAGGGGTGGTAAATTTTCAATTATGGTTGTTGCCCTCCAGTATGACTGAGACCGGGTGCAGTGTTTAATATCTAATGTTCCCAGTGTTCCCAAGAACATTTAAAAAAAATATTGAGAACAATATATTTATAAATTATGTTCCCTTTTAGGAACTGGAACATAAAATCTATAATTTATGTTCCTATAGAAAATTAAAATATATAATATATATAATTTAGACCAGGAGTATAATGCTGGGCAGAGTTAAGAAATAGGAATGCAGAAATTCCGAAAACTTACGAAAAGAGAATGAATGAACATAAAGGACGAGATAATTTCCGAATGGAAAATATAAAAAAAGGGAGTGAAGAATTTTATTACTGCTATTATCATAATTCCTGAAACACCTGATAAAAATTAGCCGAATGATTGTTCAGCCGATTTAGATAATTAATAAGATCAGATGACCAATATATATTACAATACCGTATTTTCGTGTAATAACGCGTTACTTCGAGCACCTGTGCGTTACTTCGAGCACCTGTGCGTTACTTCGAGCACCTGTGCGTTATTTCGAGCACCTGTGCGTTATTTCGAGACGCACATGTGCGATATTTCGGATCAATATT